TTTTAATAATAATAATAATAATAAATAATGAATAACAAAAGAATCAAAAAAAAAAAACCTGGTTGGAATTGGGGTGTGTTGTTGTTTCCAAGGGAACCATATCTTTGAGAAAGAGTAAAAGGCCAGGTTCATCTCTGATTGCATGAGCAACATCGTTACGCTGAAGTGTTCTTCTTTTGTTTTCTTGTGTGCGCGTCCATGCACGCTCCCCTATTTCCATTATCAACAACTCACACGCTTTTGCAAATAGCACCGGCGTATCCGCACTAATCATCTGTTTTTTTTATCAATCATTATTATGGAGTATTAATTAATTAATTCCATTAATAAGTAGTACTTAATACTAATAATAATATGATGGAACTAACACACCTTCACTTCTGTGTTTGATTTCATCACTTTCTTCACTCGAGCTAATGGGAGCGTGTGTTGAACACGAACATCTACAACAATATTAATTCACATAGATTCTCTAATTATATTATATATAGATATAAATTTACTTTTTAACAATTATATATTTACAAATTTAATAACTGAACTCCATCAACAATTTATTTAATACCGAAACAAATTAAATAATATTTCATTTTATTTACATAATATTCTTTTTTTTAAAATAATTATAATATTAGGTCATGCGTCGGCCGCCGTCACCATACTAAAAATGATAAATGTATTTGACTATATATAACCGAATAAATCCGATCCGATTTATTGCATTCGGTACCCTATGTCGTTATATAGAATTTCTAAAATTCTTCCTATTACCATATTTGCAAAAACTCCTTGAATTTCTAAATGACGAGTTTTTTTTTTTTATTTCTAAAAGGAGGATTGTTACTGGTTCTGCAATTCTAATTCTGGTGTCTCGAAATAGCGTTTGAAAAAATTGAATAATAAAATAACACGGTAATTTTTTTTTTAAAATTAAAGTAAACATAGGGTGTTAAATGCAATAACAAACTCATAAATATGATTTAAATATAAATAATTCGGATATTAATAAATTAATTTTCATATCTAGTAAGATTTAAGGATCAAATAAATAGATTTTATTCCGTTTGAAAACCAAAATTATTAAATATTCAAGAACAAATTAAAATTAGAGAAAAATGAGAAAAGAAAAATACCAGTTGGAGCCTCACGTATTTCTTGCACTCGTTCTTTCCAGAACTTGTCCATTTTTTGCTTCAATTGATTCTTCAAACATGGATTTCTAGCCTCTTCTCCCTACAATAAACATAGTTATAACAACATATATATATATATATATATATATATATATATATATATATATATATATATATATATATATATATATATATATAGACAACCACATAAGAAAAATTGGCAAAACATTTATTGATTTTTGATTTAATTTTTTTTGTTGTTTTTTTTTTTTTTTGAAATTAAGTCCTCATGGATCATAAAAAAATAAAAATCAAGATTATTTGTAAACAAAAAAAAATTATCTATTTAGAGATCAAAAGTTAAGCAAAAAACATGGACACATGTTCCACATCAATGCAAAACTTGTCGAAAAGATTATCCGAAGGCTACAACTTATATGGAAGTTTTAAAATATATTCAGATCTACATTTAAATAGAGATTAATCAATTCAATTAATAGTGTTACCTGATGGTTAACATTCAATTTCAATGTAGGGGCAGGAGGCATCGGCATAAAATCATGCGTTTGCAAAGGTCGCCTAACTGTCGACGAGAACAGCACCGACTGGTTGAAGTCCTCCATGTTTTTCTCTCTACGATTATTCATTTTTCGAAACGGAGAGTATAGACGGACAGGGTAAAAATAGCCTGTTAACAGCTAGCTTATATACGCGCAAACGGTGTTAGGTAAAACCCGAGCATTAAATTTGTTGCAATCTTTCCGTGAATTTTATTTTATATATCGTAAGTATACAGGTCGGATTGGGGTAAGAAAATTTAAAAAAATGGTGAATTTGGTTGAGGTACATATAATTAATTAATGCATATAACCTCTTTTCGAAGGCTATTAAAAAAGATTGTTATAGAGTAATTACTAATGCTAACAATCATATTATTTTGTACATGCCACAATTCTTTTTTCAGATTTTTGTTTTAATATTTGACCAATTTTATGTTTTTATTTGAAGCTTTTCACTTAAAATCAATTATTGGCAAGTAAATATGATTTCTAAATGGTGAAAAGGATACATATTAATACATACTTAACAATTAAGATTTATAATGTGTGTAAAGAAGTTTAAAAAAATAATTTTGATTTTTAATTTTTTATGATCCATGAGACTTAATTTCAAAAAAAAAAAAGAAAAACAACAAAAAAAATTAAATAAAAAATCAATAAATGTTTTGCCAATTTTTTTCTTATGTGTGTGTGGTTGTCTATATATATATATATATATATATATATATATATATATATATATATATATATATATATATATATATATATATATACCTCGATACCTATAAGAACAAATGGCTAGACATTTGTGGCGTCTTCTATCGCGCGCGGATGTTTTTCTATTTGCCAGTTCTCACTCCCACGTGGTTGAAATGGGGGGTGCGCTCTCTGTGTGCGACATGGGCATTTTACTGACTTGCTATACTTCTTGTTACTATCTATACATATGTATCGAGTTTCTCACACTAGTAGAAAAAGAACTTTCTACTACGATCATGAACCGTAGCAAAAGGTATCAAATACGTACTTGCTACGCATTTATTACGAATTTGCCCCGTAGCATATACGGGCGTGACCCAGGCTTTGTTACGGCACATGGCCGGACCAGATACTTTTTTGCTACGGTAAATTCTAGTATTTACTACGACTTAAAAATTCCTCCGTAGTAAAAAGCACCTTTTATTACGGCTTCTTACTGTAGGAAAAAAATTTGTAGTAATTAAGCAAATTATCTACTAGTGTTAATATGTTGCAACTAACAAAGATCATTACTATTGAGAGAAGGAGGGAGTAAGTAGTAAGACTCGCTCTTCTTGTGAATTTTGATAGCCAGCCATCAGGATTATGGGAATTGAAAGAATTAGTGAAACCTATATAATAATATTTTATAGGGTAAATTATATTTATATT